TGCCAGGGGCTTAGGCAGAGGGCAAATGTTTTGAGAATGATGAGGGCAATGAATGTACAAATGTGCTTTACACAATTGATGTATGTATGGATTGTGATAAAAGTTGTATGACCCCCCAATAAAATGATTTTAAAAAGAAGAACTGAATGTGCAATTATGTAAGATTTTTATCAAACTTTAATCATTATGTAGATTAATATGTTCATAATGAAACTAATACATAGCTGATTGCTCAATTTTAAAAATGTGCCAAAACATTATTTGGAAAATCCAGGTGAGAAGAATACAGGTATTCTTTGTAAAACACAAATTATTTGTATGTATTTTCTGCTCATCATTTGAAAATAAATAATTAAGCTATCCCATTCCTGGATAATTATATACCATTTTATTCAAGAATTTGTGTAAGATGATAAGGTGTGATCCTATAGCAATGTGGGCTATTTCCAAGAGTTTTTATTCTTTTTTGGCCAGATTGTGCATATTTAGAAATTAAAGAGCAATAAGTTCTGGTATTTGATAGAATACTAAGGTAAATGTCAAGTCCCAAATATGCAATAGGATATTTGTAGAAAATTTGTTGTCAAAAATGATTTTAAAAATATAACCCCCCAAAAAAATATATATAAACCCAGTTTCTTTTTTGCTTTTTGGGGTATGTTGATTGTGTATTTTTTAAAAAAGCAAATCCTTTCTTGGGGCAAATCCAGTTTCTAGAAAACCCATGACAATTTGGAGAATTGGGGGTGGGGACCCCTGTTTTGTCTTAAGGAATCTTTCCAATAGTACTAAAGCACATTTCTCCATTTACCTATTGATAGTCGTTTGTTTCAGTTTGAGAATAATATTTTTAAAGTTATTAACCTCTGTGTACAAATACTTCTTTTTAAATCTCAAAATTGAAAGAGGATATTTTTTGTTTTTAATTAAGTGTTAAGAGATACAAACAGAAGCCTAAACGCCCTTTGACCTCTTTTAATAACTAACCTGCCTTGTTCACTTCTAGACCCGCAGTTATTCATGTTGGCGCAAGGTGAAGTCTTGTGATAATTAGCTACAGAGGCTTTATTGTAGCCCTGCATCTACAGCAGAACGGAAATGGCTTGTGCTGAGTTTTCTTTTCATGTGCCAAGTCTAGAGGAACTAGCTGGAGGTGAGTACAATGGTCGCTTCGGGTCTTTCACAGTATCTATTCTGTACTGGTATATTTGAAAAGTCTCAATGCATCCTCTCACCTACCCCCCCCCAAAAAATAACAAAAATTAACCATTTGTAAATTATTGGTAAGATAGATGTTTTACAAATGGAAATTAACTATAGTAATGTACTCTAAGTTTTAAATGCGTGTGATGCCCAGAATTGCACAGTTTTGTGCTCTATTATCTTTTTACCAAGACAGTCCTTAAATATGTCTTTTATAACTGTGTATTAACTATGTTTCCAATATACTATTTTTCCCCCCTTTTAATGGATTAGACTGCCAATGAACTTGCTTGGGGGTATATTTTTATATATTTCACCTAGTTTGAACAAAAATTCAAGGAGGCTTCTCAAAATAACAATTAGAAGAGGATAGATGAGACAAGGAAAACCTGGATTGGGACAAAAAGAGAGAGAGAGAGGGAGTGTGTGTGTGTGTGTGTGTGTGTGTGTGTGTGTGTGACGGCCTTTAAGTCCTTGTATTTTCACAATTTGCTGACAGGGAGTAGACAATCTGCATCATAGTTTTTGCCTGTATTCAGGTCTGTCTCCTGTCAGACTTCTGTCCTCCCAATGAGAAAGGACATTGGATTCGACTCCGCTGAGGCTCTGCTGCCACGTGTTTCTCTGAGTTTCTGTTTCTGTTCTCCTTGTATCTGTACAAAACATATTCAGTACAAAATCAAAACATAATCCCAAATTTTTAGCTCAAAATCCATGTTTCACCTTTCCATTTTTAATTTAAATCATTTTACTGGGGCTCTTACAGATATTATAACAATCCATAAATCAATTATATCAAGCAAACGTGTACATGTTGCCATGGTCATTTTCAAAACATTATCTTTCTACTTGAGCCCTTTTTATCAGCTCCTCTTTTTACCCTCCCTTCCCCACCCTCGTGAACCCTTGATAATTTATTTTCCCATATCTTACACCATCCACTGTATCCCTTCACCCACGTTTCCACTGTTCCTCCCCCTTGGGGTGGAGTGGGGGAATTATACATCCATCATGACTATCGGTTCCCCCTTTCTACCCTTTCCCGCTCTCCCCCTATACCTTTCTATTTTTTACAGGAAAATTTTATTTTGTACCAAGAACTTGAAACCTTTGCAGTGGGTAAAAATTAGATTTTGCTATTCATCTACATCCTAAGTCTTAATTTAAATGTTCATAAAATTGCAGTCATTGGTGTCGATAGGAAAATTTTCAGTCAGTTTGGTGTCCATGCTCACAGAGAAAAGATCTAGTATGTATGTTTATGTGGCTTGCTCTAGGATGACTATTTATTTTTAGGGAGTGTGATTCTAAGAGTAAACCATACGGGCTAATGTGACTATCAGTTGCTATTACAAAATTGTGATCCTTAAACTACATTGTTCTTAGATTTATAACCTCAACACCAGTGCTGTTTGTTTGTTTGTGGTTTTACATTTCTATGGAAGTATCATGTGTATCATATCTACAAAGCACACTAATGTGAATGCACGGCTAGATGGATGCTAACCTGTGTCTGTTCCCATATAACCACCACCCAGATGAAGATACAGAATATTTCCTGCATCCTAGGCACCTCCTTTTCCCAATTAACCGTCTTACCTCCAGACATAACCAACCACTATTCTGAATTCATAAGTTGTGGGGTTCTTTTGAAATACATCCTCTCCTTGCTTATCAACTTATTAACTGACATCTTGAATTTATGACAGTAGTAAAATATCTACTGCCTATTTTTCACTTTAACAATATAACAAACATCAACATTTGAGGCAAGATAAACGTTGCTTTTGCTGGTTACAGTTATGTCTGAACTTGACCATGAACATCGCAGGCTTCAGGGGCATGAATCCAAGGTCAGAAGGTCAGGTGATAGGTTGCTAACAGCTCCAAGGCAATGTAGCAGGAAGAACTGGAAGGCGATGTGCTGGATGCAGGACCCAGACCCAGCCCAAAACAAACAAGCTTCCTCACAGCGTTATTCGTCCGTCGGTCTGCCCGCTTATGTAGGAATGAGGCCACATTCCAGAGAACATGTTTCAATTGCATCGGGCTGTGCCTTGAGTAACACACTACCCACCCCACCCTACCCTGTACCCCCCACCCCCACTCCCCCGCCCTCCCACAGGGCTTGTTTGCTCACAGCAGATCCTGCGCTATGTTAGGTCATGTCATGGGGACTGACTAGGCCAAACCACCAAGAAGCCTGGCCCTGACAATTTGACACAAAGCCTTATCACACCGTATACATAAAAATGGAATCAGAGGTTTTAAAGCAGTTTGAATATTGACGTCTCAATAGGTCTTTAGAATCCTCTCCCCAAATGGAATGAAGTCTGTCTATTTTCAGTGATTTGTAATTGCTGTAAATAAGATATTTTTGTGTCTTAATTTTAATGCTTTTAATATTTGTAAGTTTGGGTTGGGAGTGTGACCCCCAGAACTGTTAGAGGAGATTGGATATTTAGTAGCCTCGCGTCTACTTCATGAAAGTGACCATTGTCTCTGTCTTCGTCAGTTCTGCAGAAGGGGTTAAGAGGTAACTTTGCCGAGGCACAGGTCTCTGTGGTTGAGTGTCCTGACTTGACTCAGGCACCATTTACATTTCCTGCGAAAGGTAAGCTTTTTTCAGTTAGTGCCTACTTTCAGTCGGAGTCTTTTTAGAAACCAGAATTATTTCTAAGCATCATTTAAACTTGTACTTAATTTTGCTTATTGTTTCCTCATATCAGTCAAGTTTAGCTGTATGTCCTGTGGAAAGAGATTATATTTTATGCTTTTTAATAATATTCTTAGGTTATATAAGTAGCTATTTAATAGACTAGAATCTGATACGATATGGGGGTTTTGATTTTATTTGTTGAGGTGACTGCTATGCAACTTGATTGTTATGTTTTTATTTGTTTTTTTTAAGATCAGAAGAGGTATTTTTTTTATTCAGCTTATGTTTATTGATGGATTTTCAACACAGTAAGATCTCTCTCACACTGCCTTGCTTTCCTCCACAGAAGGGGTCTTCAAAGCCTTATATTCACGTCATCCATTAACCACTTGCTTCCCTCCTTGCTTTGTCGAACGGTCTTCTGGCCAATATTTTTAATGAGAAGGAAGGGAAAATATTACTGGTTGAATAAATATAATTTGTCAGACAGTGTGATAAACACTATATTGGATCTGTTCATCAATTTTACAACAACACTACCAGTTTATAAGTGAGAAAACTAGGGCTCAGAGGTTAAGTGAGCCCATCCTGACCTCGTCTGTAATTAAAATTCAGTATCTATGTCTGTCTGTCTGCTTCTAATGTCCAAGCTTCTCCCATTATGTCCATTAAAATGAGGAAACTGAGTGTTCTTTTATTATATAATTGACATCTGTGTTAAGAACCAGTTTGCCATACTGACGTATACTTAGTGCTTCTACCACCTAGTTCATTGCATAGTGCTGGGGACTTAAAAGCTTGCAAGCAGCCACCCAAAGTACAACTAGAGATTGGCTGTGTGCCTAATTACTTCCACGAATAACTACTTTCTTTGCATGAGACCAGAAGAGCTAGATGGTGCCTGGCTGCCATTATTGAAGATTTTGATAAAAGATCCCTTAAAAGAATTCTGATCAAAAGGGGGAAATATAGAACAGGATTTCAAATTCTCAGAGAATTCAGATTTCTTGGAGTCTTAGAAACTGAATGAACTTCAGATAATCTTTAAAACTCCAAAAATAAAAAAAATAAAACTTCAACCAGAAATATCCCTTGAAGTCTTCTTAAAGCCAAATATTAGTTGAGCTTAACTAGTGAGGTCGGAAGAGCCCCTGATGGTGTAGTTGGTTATGCATTGGCCTGTGGTCCACATGATTGTCAGTTCGAAACCACCAGCAGCTCAGTGGGAGAAAGACTGGGCTTTGTATTCCCACAAACAGGTACAGTCTTGGGAACCCACAAGGGGTCGCTGTGCGTCAGCATTGACTGGATGGCAGTGAGTTTGATTGGAGTTGGATGTGCCGCAAACATTATGCTCTTTATGGGATCAAGTTGATAGCAGCAACGTGACAGATCCCATGAGATCTGAGTCTGTGCTAATGGAAGAACCAAACCCCTCAGAAAAAGATCCCCAAAATGGTTGTACAACTCAAAGAGATTAATCCCTGTCAGTGACTTGTACATGTAGGAACTTAAATTGGTGTATGTTTTGCTGTATCTTAAAGAAATCACAAACAATAATTTTTAAAAATTAATTTGATGAGTAAGTCATGGACTCTAGTTCTGTCTCTGCCCCATACTGATTTCATTACCCTCCATCAGTGTTTCCCAAGTGGACGGAACTGCCCCTGGAGGTGCCAGAACAATCCAGGGGCGCTGCAAAAGCAGACACCTAAACTTCATCAGAGATAGGGGCTATCGAACACAAGGTTTTAGGTGCCAGGGGTGCTAATAATTTTTTTTAAGGGAGGACGAGGTGAAATCAGTTTGGGACCTATGCCCTTGATCAGGGGAATATTTGGCCTGCAGGCTGTCTAAGACCTGCAAAAACATCAGTGCCAGCTAACGTCACACAGCTCACCAAAGGGAAGCAGTTCCAGGCATCACATTAGGGGGAGTTAGCTAAACGTTTCATCAGTCTGGCCCAGGAATGATGTTATAAATCTACAAATGGCCCTTGGCAGAAAGAAGGTTCCCCATCCTGGCCCTAGAGAAACCACTTCCTGCAGCTGGACCTAAGTGAGAGGATGACATGCTCTTTTTTGTCTTTCCAGGTTAAACATCCTTTGATTATAACTATCTGTATAAATTCCACAGGTATTGTGTACCATGCAACAATTTCAGCAACTTTGAAAGCATTTATCAGATACTTTTTGTAGCCATGTTTATTCCAAATAGAAGTGTAAGAGTAGAAAACAGAAAAGTGCAAAGATGAAAAAAAAAAAGTACAAAGATGAAAAATGCATACCTTAATTCTTTTATCCTAAGGATATTCTTTGAAAAACAATTTTAAGTTCAAACATATATATGTATATGTCTTTAGATTATAATATTAGGGAAGTTAGCTCCATGTATATTTATGTACATAAACGCGCACGTGTGTGTGTGTGTGATCTGTCATGAACACAGGCATCTTCTGCCCGAGCTGGTCTTGCTACAGTCACCAGTGTCACCTCCACATATTGGACATGATATGACCATTGCTACCTTGTCACACTCTCCTCGGGGTTACCACTCATCCCCCCTTGGTTCTCTTGCCTCTTCTCCCTGGGCACCTTGCTTGCCTCTTGGATATTCTTTCATTGTCACCTTTCCTGCTTCCTTTCTCTTTTTTATTTCTAATATTTCAATTTATATGTTTTCCAGGATTTTTTCTCTTGTTTTGTACAATCTCTCTGGACTGTCCTATCCATTCTTGCAATTTGAATTACCCCCTGGATACAACTTCATAATCTGTATACTGCACCTAAATCTTTTTCTTACCTACAGGTAGTATTTCTATTTGCGTACAGGACATCTGCAAGGACCTCTGGTGGCCCAGTGGTTACATGTTAGGCAGTGATCTGCAAGGTCACCAGTTTGAAACCATCAGCTGCTCTGAGGGAGGAAGACGGGCTTTACTCCTGTAAAAGTTACAGACCCCAAACTCACAGGGGCAATTCTACCCTGTCCCATAGGTTCACTGTAAGTCAGCATCAACTAGATGGCAGAGTTTGGTTTTTGGACAGGATGCCTCCACCTTCAACTCACCTAATAATGACTTGAACTCAATATGGCTAAAATTTGACTGACTGCTTCACCAGCATATCCTGTGCTCCTGCCTTCCTCTGCTTCTCCATCTCCACAGTCCACATGTGTTTTGCCTGGACCACTAAAAGAGCCCCGGGATGGCTTCTCTGCATTTCTGTTCCAGGGTGCTTCCGTTTCGTAGGGCCTGATCCATGTGTAATTTCTGCTAATTGCATGGAAAACATTTCTGAAATCCCTAATTACAAATGAGGCCTCTAACAATGTTGTACATCCACTCAGCATAGCTAAAGATACAGAGCAATTGTAATTACTAAGTAATGTGTTAGTATGAAACTAACAGGACTTATTTCTCAGACAAAGGCAATTTATTGTTTTCCACTGAATTTTAAATAAAAGGTACCTTTTCTGGTTTGCAAATAAAATGTTAAGAAAATTTCTCTCATCAGATAGTCTCTCTCATTAATAGTTCCATAGCATACTTGAGAAAAGCAGATGTGACAAGGCTTTCCAATATGGATTTTCTAAAAGGGCTTATATTCTACCAGAGGAAAATAGTCTATATTTAAAAGCAATTTTAGCAAAAAAGAAAAAACCCAAGACTAAAACCATGAAACCCTAGATATTAAAGGTCATTATAAATTATTTATAAAAATTTAAAATTCAAACCTGAACATTGCCTCGTCTAAACCTTACCCTATCATCAACTTTTTGTTGGCTCCACGTCACCAGCCACCTCAAGCCATGTTTGCTTATCAAGCCATGTTTGCTATTGGAGACACTGGTGTTTATAATAGGGATCATCTTTCAACCTCTGCTATTTGTAAAACTCTTCGAGAATAGAAACGTATACTCTAAAAAATTGAGTCTTCTGGCATTTACAATTCAATGTTCTGCCTATGTTGAGGATGGCTTATGTTTTTTTAGGCATCTGTGGAAAAACTAGAATCGCAGAAGTAGGAGGTGTGCCTTATTTAATGCCTCTGGTAAACCTCAAAAAAGTAAGTTGACCTTTCCCTCTTCATATTCAAATGAAGGTTGTAGAAGTTGGGTGGATTCTTCATTTTCACTCGTAAAAGATCCATCGGTCAATGTGGAAAGGAAGTGTTACAGACTCAGGAATGTGAAAAAGACTGGGAAATTACTGTAAGTTATGAATTACGAGTCTGAGGTCCCAATGTGGTCTGATCACAGTCATTTTTCTTGTCCTCTATAGGTGTACGACCTGAATAAGATTGCGAAAGAAATCAAGCTGCCCGGAGCTTTCATTCTGGGAGCAGGGGCAGGCCCATTTCAGACACTCGGCTTCAATTCTGAGGTCAGTGTATATATACTGGGATTATTTTTTTGATCTGACATTTTGTTTACCCTGCCAGAAAATAGAGCCTTCTTGAATCGTGAGTCGCTGATATCATATCATCATCATTTCATACTGTTTTTCTAAGATATACTCCATTTGGTCCAACTGTAATGGGGCACCAGATACTCTGGGGGGGGG